TCCCTATCCCGAGCCAGATATATCCAATCCACACCATCCCATCCTGTCTCTCCAAGATCCATTCTAATATTGTCCACCCACCTACGCCTTGGTCTTCCCTGTGGTCTCTTTCCTTCTGGCTTCCCCACCAATATCCTATATGCATTCGTCTCCCCCATTCGTGCTACATGACCTGCCCACCTCATTCTCCTTGACTTGATCATTCTAATTATACTTGGAGAAGAGTATAAGTTATGAAGCTCCTCATTATGCAGCAGCACTTATTAATGGTGAACAAATTGTACATTTGTTACGAATGCAGTGTTCAGTAGTCACTAGGCGTGTACGTCAAATTTCCCAGCGAACCTACTCGCGGTCTCCCAAGTTTTGTTTATGATACACTTCTATCATTAGATTAAAACTAAATGTTGTGTGTATGAGCTACTTGATCAGTATCCAAAGAGATGAGATATGTGAAGCAGAAAATGCGCAATTCAAATGCAGTTTAAGTTGGATTTAGCTTCCCTCAAAATGTACTATACATTCTAATAATAAAATCCTAGCTATATTATTCCAACGATTGTTTTGTTTACAAAATAATATTTCATTACTTTAGAGGCAAAATGACGAAATCACTGTCATCGAAATTTCCTACCTGATCCGTAGGGACACGCAGAACACAGTTTGGGAACTGTTCTGCACTGTTGACTACACATCACATGTTCTGCAACGGAAGAAAAAAAATATAAATAAATAATCAAGGGAGAGAATAGACAAATTAATTAATAACACAGAATTATGTAACATATTCCAGGCAATATTTGTGACAATGCATGAAAATCTGCAAGTCAGTGTTAGGCAGGCTATCTCCATCCTCTCTGACACTCTCTTACTTATGCAGGAATAAGAGAGTCCGCAATAAATTCATCAGTTGACACACGCTGCTTTAATATAACTTTCCTGTTTCGATGATTGCTTGGAGTAGACATAACTTTCAGATATATAACTGTAACAGGAAAAAAAAAGGTTCTTAGAACGCCGTCTTCTGGGATGTGGCGCCATGTAGATCTTGCGTGAACCGAAATTTCGGAGGAACGTATCGCCTCCATTTTCAGGGTAGAAAAATCCATTGCAGCCACCTGCTCACGTTGATCCCTCGCTCGCTGATTTTTCTACTCTGAAAATGGAGGCGATGCGTTCCTCCGAAACGTCGGTTCACACAAGATCTAAACGGTGCCACATCCCGAAGACGGCAATCTTCATAGTCACCGCCGTGAAAACCTCAAATCTTAAAAAACGTTTGTAGCTTGGTAATCGTAATGAAATCCACAGACCTCCAGAATTCTAAAACTCGCCTTCTAGTTGCCATGGAGCTTAATAAGTGGGGTTTATTTACGATGCAGATGTGGGCGACTTCTATTTTCAGCGCGAGGCAATATTCAGGACCATTTGTTGTACAATGACGACATTACAACATGTTACCTTGCAAACCGCAGACAGAGCGTGTTAATTGATACCACAGAAATACTGTTGGCGGGATGAGGCGCTGTGCACGCTCGCGGGCTTAAGCGTGGATCCTTTGATTGGTACTTAACGGCATCCTGTGCGTGTGATTATCACTTCATTATCACATTGGGCCAGATGACTAAACGAACATCATTTCACTTACGTCAGGCTTCGCGTTTCTTGCAGTTTCGAAGAATGGCAGCTTCAAGGTGATGTTATTATTATTATTCTCACACATGGAACTGAGCCCTTCTTGAGAATCTGCCAATTGTGCAGCTACTCAAAAACTTCCCAGCATTTTATGGAACCCGAAGGTTCATTACAATATTCACAAGAGCCCTCCACTGGTCCCTATCCTGAGCCAGATCTATAGAATCCATGCCATCCTATTTCTCTAATATCCATTTTAATATTGTCCACCCATCTACGTCTTGGTCTTCCAAGTGGTCTCCTTCCTTCCGGCTTTCCCGCCAATATCCTATATCCAAGGAATCTGTCCAGGTCCGAGGTTTCTTGCAAATGTTCGTAACAAGATTCTTTTTTTTATGGTGAGGAGTTGTTAGCCCCACGACCAACACCCAAGCTGGAGAACCACCCCTTCTCGGCTGTCCGCGACTGCTTATTCAATATATTCGCAGCTACCTTCCATACCTGGAGGGTGTCTCCTCCACCCACAACCTGAGGACGCGCCATACCGTGGTGACAAGGGACCCACCTAACATATTATTATTATTATTATTATTATTATTATTATTATGTGTGCTCTAATTTTTGTTTTTTCGGTAGTCACATTTGCAGCCTTGGTGCGACGCCATATAATACAGACATTGAAGCGTCGTTAACAAACCAACTTTACATTACAATAACTTTGATATAACGAGTGACTTTCTCATCCTCGTGAAACCAGACTCTTGTTATCCCAGTTTAGAAAAGGCAGCGGTACTACGGCTAGTAATTATAGACCCATGTGTTTACGGAAGAACGTTTCCATAATATTTTCATTCATTATCAATGTTAATTTATATATTTTTCCTAAACACATGTTTAAACCAACTCAGCACGGGATCCGTAACACAGTTCCACCATCGACTAATCGTGTTACCTATGTTAACACCCCCTTTACACTCATTTAGAATTCAAGGATAAACTCAGTCTCTTCATTTGGATTTAAGTGACGCTTTTAATATTATTCCTCGTTCGTTTTGTCTTCGTAAACTTAGCAATATTGTATTTGATTTTATGTTATTCTAATTGGTTTCATAAGTATGTGACCGGTAGACACACCTCGGTTGTGCCTCTGGTGGCTGTTCTTCTTCTCGTACATGGTAAAATTTAGATATTGCACAAATATCCACTTTAGGACACTTCATTTTGATTTTAACTTAAGTAAACTGTATTGAAGCTGAAAATAACAACAGTTCAGTATATATAGCAAAGGGACTTCGTGTTATATTTTCAAGGGGGACTGCACTTTTTATAAGAACGAAAACAGTTCCGCGCATCATGAACGCAAATTGTTTCACCATATACACTCGGTGAAAAACAAAAATACTTCAAAGAGAGAAGAAAGAAATTTCGGAAGGTTTATAAACTAGAAAATGATGAGTATGAACGCTATGGAATACCAAATATTAATACATACGCGTACTTATGACTGTAATAATTATTTTTCCTTCTCAGAATGTTTATGGCTACATTAAAATATGGGTAATGTAGGAACGCGTTGTGCATTATGCTATTACATAGCCCGAACTTAAATATAAGCAGTTAAGCAAAGAGTTGCAGACACACATGGAAGCACTGAGATTTATTGTAGGTATTACACAGAACTGCAATTAGCTTGCAGCCTCAGCAGAAAGGTGGTGATGGGGAAACAAGGCGCAACGAGCTATAACTATTTAATGAGGGGAACAGGGAAGCAAATTCGTGCAGACTCCCGAAGCCACCAGAAATACTGCAGTAGCGAAAAGCCTGTATTACGTCAAATCTGTGGGAAAAGACCTTGTGGTGGCGATGTTGATGAGGCTCCAAATCACAGTAACTGAAGAGTACAGTGATAAGATAACATACGGTCGCCACGCCGAAGCCAACGGTCGAGGACTCAATTACGGGGCCAAAAACATAGATTTTTTTTTTCCCTGTGGCGCTATAGCACCAATTTGGGCCTAGGTCTACCTCCATGAAACTCTCCGTTTCACTTCGGTTTACTAGATCTTACACATACGGCAGGACTCCTTGGGCGAGTGATCAGCTCGTCCCAAGGCCTCTACCTGTAGACAAACACAGAAAAGCGCACACAAACATCCATGCCCTGAGTGGGATTCGAACCAACGATCCCGGCTTCCGAGCGCGCGAAGACAGTGCATGCCTTAGACCGCTCGGCTACCGTGACCGGCAAAAACATAAATTCCACTATGTGAATTTCGGTAAATTATGTTACTGCTGATGAGTTTCCGGTGTATAGCCGGCTTACATATCTGTTCTGGCTACCGAAGTCAGCAAGCAACGAGAGAGTTGATTTCGAGTAATTCGGGGGGGGGGGGAACTTAGGGGCATTCAGAGTCTGCAGTTTTCGAAGCATTACTTACAAATATATTGGGCGTAATGTAAGAACCTGACTTGTGTTAATTCACTTTGTCAAAATTCCTGTGGCCACAAAAATGGGATATCAAATAACGAACCCTGATCCATGATTCACAAAACTTACAGTAGCCACGTCGTAGCTCGACGTATGGACAAACAATTAAAAGGATTTTAGGTTCTTGCAGCGGTAGTTATGTCTTCTGGGACATAACGCCTTGTAGTCCGTAGAATGCTCGCTACATAATTGATGCTGGTGTATTGCTTGGCATATTCTTCGACCCTGAAGAAGGAGGCGATATGTTCGTCAGGAACGTAAGTTGACTTTATATCCAAGAAGACAGAACTATTCAAGGAATTAAAACTTCGAGGAGTGGAATCTCTGGGTTGTAACGCCATGTACTCGTAGTTCGGTAGAAGTCCACCAGCGTTTCGGAGGAAGGTATTGCCTTCTTATTCAGACTGAAGGAGTAAGTGAAGCAAGGTTCCTCTGGAACATCGGTGGACTTCTGTCGAACCACAAGGCGTTACAATCCAGAAGATAAGCCACGCTGACAGGGTCCCCGGCACAGCAAAAGTTCCAAGTCATAAGAACTGTTTCTAATTACAGACATGTATTCAGTTATACAGTGAACTGGTTTGTTAAGTAAATAATATATTTTTATTAGCTCAAATCTATTGTTGTCTACAAACACACAGCAATGGAGTAAAAACTTCAGGAACCTGTTCTGAATAACATTAGTGTTCCCATCCAATCATGATCGCCATATTGGCATTTTTGATCACTCAGTATTAAAACGCACAGGCATACTGATATAAGGTTCCGAAGAAGAGAGCGGATGTCCTTGGAAACCCCAGGTTCGCGTGTCTTCTAAACTAAGTTTGCAGAAGTGGTAGCACAGTTAAATGACCAAACTGTGTGCTCATTCTTGCAGGTGGCTGTCTACCCGCCTGGACCAGCGACACAAAGGGGCATATGTTTGGGTACGACGACCACAATGGTATGTATTGTGAGGTAACAACGTCGTTTAGAAAAAAATCGTAAACTAACCTGTAACAAACTGGCCTAAGACTTTGTGCATAATTTAACACATTTAAATGTAATTTGATATTTAGAATGAGCCTGGATAGCTCAGTCAGGAGCCGGGATAGCGACTGGCTACGGGCTGGGCGACAGAGGGGTCGAGTTTCGAATCCGGGTAGGGTCAAGAATTTTCGTTTCTCTACGTCGGCCAGGCCGGCTCTGGGGTTCACCCAACCACCTATCCAATGGGTACCGGGGGCTTCTTCCCCAGGGGTAAAGCGGCCGGGGCGTGAAGCTGACCACTAACATCCAACTAGTGCCGAGGTCAAGACAATGTGGCTCTATACATCCACTCCCCCATACGCCTTCATGGCGTTGTGCTTAATTAGTTAAGCACAGGGGCAACTTCATTTTACCTGGATAGCTCGGTCAAATGGCTGGCTACAGGCTGGATGACGGGGCTGGGACAAAGCCCGGGATCCACATGGTGCGTGAGACTTGTTTCCTACGTAACAGGGCGGTGAAAGCGTGAAGCTCTACACTCACCTCCATCTAGTGCTAACGTGAGAAACGTGTGGATTATTACCATCATGCGTCCCAAATGCAAGCAGAGCGTGGTCCTTAGCCGCACGGACAGCTTACTGCACTTACCAAACATCATCACAGTCACCTAATTCTGGTGCAGTTTGGATCTAGGACAAAGGTTTTACGTTCAGCTGTAAACATGTTGTGACATGAAGCCTGAAAGCAGGAATAGTTTAAGAAGAAAGGGTGGCCATTGCTAGACAACGGCGTGGTAAACACGCTTCGGCAGCAACAAATCAACACACAACAGGAAATGTTGGAAGCGGCGTTTTCTATGCGGTCCGTACAGAGGCTATATAGCGAGGACCAACGGAAAAATTTAGACAGTCGGAGGTCGGAGTCGGTGGTTAGCATTCTTGAGTTTTGAGTTGCATTGTTAGCAGCCGCTACCAAACAACCAATATTAAAGAAAACATAATACTTTATGCGTGCTTCACTTGTAGATACCTATAGAGCGCAAATTACTTAGGCTTACAGTTATTTGTGGTTACGAGTTATAAGCGTTCAATAAATCTAATTATCATTCCAAACCCCCCATATCTAGTCATTAACACGTGATAATATCCGTAGATTATACTGAAATTTGTATCCAGAAAACCTAAAAGCTTCTCCGACAAAGAATAAAACAACTGATGAACTGAATATTCTGTGTCGTCTGCTATGCAAAACGTACGAACGAAGGATGTCGTCGTACAACTTCGACTTAACGACAGAAGTAGTAAGCTTCTCAAGACATGATGCGGTCACCCGCATTTTTGTACGTGTTTCCTTGTAGCCTGATTCAGGAAGAAACTGAGAGGGGATTGAACTCGGGTAATGCTTCCTACCATTCAGTCCAGAACCTTTTGTCTTCTCGTCTGCTGTCCAAAAACATAAGAATTAGAGTATACAAAATTATAATTTTGCCTGTGGTTCTGTATGGGCGTGAAACCTGGTCTCTGACATTAAAGGAGGGACATAGACTGAGAGTGTTTGAGAACAGGGTGTTGAGAATATTTGGACCAAAGAGAGATGAAGTGACAGGAGGTTGAATAAAACTGCATAATGAGGCGCTTCATAACTTGTACTCTCCTCCAAGTATAATTACAATGATCAAGTCAAGAAGGATGAGGTGGGCAGGGCATGTAGCACGAATGTGGGAGACGAGGAATGCATACAGGATATTTGTGGCAAAGCCAGAAGGAAAGAGATCACTGGGAGGACCAAGACGTAGGTGGGTAGACAATATTAAAATTGATCTTAGAGAGATAGAATGGGATGGCATGGATTAGATCGATCTGGCTCAGGATAGGGACCAGTGGAGGGTTCTTGTAAACACGATAATGAACCTTCGGGTTCCATAAAATGCTGTGAAGTTCTGGAGTAGCTGCACAATTAGCGGCTTCTCAAGAAGGGCTCAGCTCCATGAGTAGGTAAGTAAGTTTCTTTGTAGTTAAATGACTGTCATGGCAGGATAATATTAAGACGGATCTTGAAGAAGTACGTTTTAATGTCGAAACTGTCAGTGTCCCAGCTGTGATTATCATATTCTGCCACCAGAGAGTTACTTGTGTACAGGAAACGTGTCTAGACACGCTGTGCATTTAACAGAAACGTCTTCAGAACCCTAACACAATGGTCACGGCAAATACTGGACAGCAAACCAGCAGTTCATAGCAGGTAAAAGAGACATATTGCAGAAAGGTCGAGAGTTCACTTGGTACCACAAGCAGAGGATCTGCTTTATCGTGTCTTCCAAGGCGGGCGTGTTAGTTTCTCGCAGAGAGTTTCCTTTCATAATTTGGGAATATTCCTTTCGAAACTATAAAAAAAAAAACTCTTGAGCGTACCATGATGGTTCAATCTCAAAACCATACGTGCAAGTTAAACTAAGAAAACTGACAGATTTGATTTGGTTCATCCTGATTCGTCGCACAGGCAATATTGTAACGTGGATGGACACAGCGTTGCTAGGTAACGAATAACATGTATTGTCAGGCGTGTCCACCCATGCGTTGCCTAGCAATGGACGCCTTATTGTTGCGCATTCGTTGCTTGGAACATGTTTACGTATTCTTCTCCTAGAAACGGCCCAATCTGTCACAATATTATAAAACGTTATCAACTCCGTCCAGTGTGACTGATATTTTTTCTCTCTCTCCTTTTTTAGTCTTCCTTCTGAAGATGGTCTCTCAGACTGAAATATCTCAAGGATGAAAGACTAAAAAGGAGAAAAGAAGAAACATCAATCACACTGGACGAAGTTGATAACCTTTTATAAAACTGACAGATTTGGAGTTTGTGCATCTTGCAACAAACTTCGTATCGCGTTTCTTTTTCAGGTAGCAATTCTGAGGGAACTTAATTCTTCTGGTTAGTTCGCTCATACCTTTATGCAAATCCTGCGCAGGCGGACGAATTTTGCGAGCGCTCGCTTAACGCCTGTACGCAGCACTAGCCAAGGGGCGTCACGCTGCAGACAAAGTTGCTGATAGTCATTGTCGTAATTAATGGAGGAATCAATACGCTGCTTTATTAATATAAACTGAAAGGCGGAAGATGAAGAGATGTCCACAAAAAGATGGAACGAATGTTTTTAGTCCAAGGCACCGGCGCAGTCACCATCATCATCATCATCATCATCATCATCATCATGGCACCAAACGTCGAGGGTACTGGTTAGCGTCATAATGCATAATACTCAATAGGTCTCCAGTTCGAATACCAGCCATAAAATCAATAATCCTGGATCAGATTTTTCGTGGTTTTCGTCAGTCCTTCCAAAAGAATACGGGAGTATAATAATAACAATAACTCTAAAATTGGAGAGGGCACGCGGTAGCGTAGTTGGTTGAGGAACTATGCTACAAGCCGGAAGGTCGCGGATATAAGTCCCGATGAGGTCATTAGATATTTTCAATTTTCCTAATCCTTCCAGCTGCACTATGGCCCTGGGGTCGACTTAGTCTCTAAGAGAAATGAGTACCAGAAATATTCTTGGAATATTCTTGGGGGTAAAGGACAGCCGGCACGTAAGGCTGACAACCTTGCCACCATCTATTAGCCGATTGCCTAGAAAATGTGCGAGCCTCGACGTCTCACAACCATATGGGCCTCAACGGCCTGGTACAGGGATAGCTTTACCATTACTTAAACTGAAATTGGTTCCTCCCATAATTTCCATTTCACCCCAACAACTCTCTCGCCGCTACCCAACACCCTATAATCCGTGTGGATGATACAGTGTCGTTAAATTGCCATAGATACAAGGGCCGGCTTATTACGGCACATAATTTGTACTATATCCATTGTCTGACTTAAAATGTATGATTTTCAAATTATTGCGTTTCGGAGAGAGTTGTCTACGGCATCACGTAATGGCTGCCTTGAGCTGTAGCGTTGTCTATATAGGCTACTGCACTGGACGCAGTCACAGTCCAGATTAGCGTCATGAGTAAGGGAAGACACGTGACCCTGCAACAATGTCTTCAAGGTGCTCCGCCGGAAACAGCGCTCAGGTCCCCCCCCCCGAAAAAAAAACCCGTTGACATATGAATGCGGC